AGAGAGAGAAAGAGAGAGAGAAGGCTGGGCGTTATTGGTGCACGCCTTTAATCCCAGCACTCAGGAGGCAGAGGTAGGCAGATCAGCACTCAGGATGCTGAAGGAGGCAGGTCTACAGAGCAAGTTCCAGGACAGCCAAGGATACATAGAGAAAGCCTGTCTTGAAAAACCAAAAAGAAGGAAGAGGAGGGGGAGGAGAAGGAGAAGAAGGAAGAAGGAGAAGGAGAAGAAGGAAGAAGAAGAAGAAGAAGAAGAAGAAGAAGAAGAAGAAGAAGAAGAAGAAGAAGAAGAAGAAGAAGAAGAAGAAAAGAAGAAGAAGAAGAAGAATAATTTCTTTCGGGGGATGTGGGAAGGGGGTTAGAGAAATGGCTCATTGTTTTAGAACACTTGCTGCTTTTGTGGAGGGCCTGTGCTTTGTTCCCAGCACCTGTGTAACAGTACCTAGCCATCTGTAACTCCAGTTCCAGGGAATGCCTTTTCTGACCTCCATGGCATCAGGCACGCAAGTGGTACATGTGCACACATTCAGGCAAAACACTGTACACATAAAACAATGATTTCCATGGCATCAGGCACACAGTTTTACATGTGCATACATTCAGGCAAAACACTTCACACATAAAATAATCATTTCTTGGGCTGGGGAGGTGGCACAAGGTGAAAAGCACTTCTCTTCCTGAGGACCAGAGTTCACTTCCCAGTCACTCTATCAATCAGGTGACTTCCAAACACCACTTGTAACTCCAGCTCCAGGGGATCTGCTGCTTTATTCTGGCTTCCTTGGGTACTTGAATTCACCTGCACATATATATCTATGCCTAATTAAAAAATAAAAGCTTAGGACTAGAGAGATGGCTCAGAGCTTAAGAACACTGGCTGCTTTTCCAGAGGACCTGAGTTCAATTCCCAGCAACCACATGATGGTTTACAACCATCTGTAATGAGATCTGGTGCCCTCTTCTGGTGTGCAAGAATACATGCAGGCAAAAGGCTGTATACATAATAAATAAATCTTAAAAAAATAAATAAAAGTTTAAGGAAAAGTGTCTCTTTCCCTGTCTTTCACGGTTGACATGGAGTGTGCGTGTGCAATGTAGACTGTTTTGTAGACCGCTTCTCACCCTTCGCTTGTCTCAGCTTCTTCCAGTGTCCTGTTCAGAGGTTCTACAGAATTGCAGTCTTAATAGTGCACCCCAAGAAGGTCTAGCATATCTAATTTTTCCATTATTAGTAATGGTATTTGTTTTGAGAGACTGTCATGTGGCCCAGCCTGGCTTTGAACTTGCCATGTAGCTAAGGATGACCTTGAACTCCTACTGCCTCCATCTCCCTGTTGCTGGTCTTTGTAATTAATGAGTTGCATTGGTATGGGGTGGGGGACATGTTTATATACGCCATTTCTTTTCAAACTTTTATGTGGGGGTGTTGTGCGTGTGTGTCTGTTGTGTGTCTTTGGGTCTATGTGTCTGTGTGTGTCTATGTCTCTCTCTCTCTCTCTCTCTCTCTCTCTCTCTTATGTGTCTTTGGGTCTATGTGTCTCTGTGTGTCTATGTCTCTCTCTCTCTCTCTCTCTCTCTCTGTGTGTGTGTGTGTGTGTGTGTGTGTGTGTGTGTGTGTGCGCTCATGTCTACTGATTTGTTTTTATGGTGTTGGGAATAGAACCTAGGGCCTTGCCCATCCTAGGTAAGTGCTCTAACCCTGAGCAAAGCACCCCGAACTATGAATAGACCCTGTCTCATAACAAACAAAACATAACAAACTGACCAATAACAATATTCCCAAACCACTGAGATGGAAACAGCATTATGTTCAGATAAAAACTTGTCTCACGGGGGTCGAAAGATGGCTTAGAGGTTAAGAGCACTGACTGCTCTTCCAGGGGTCCTGAGTTCAATTCCCAGCAACTACATGGTGGCTCACAACCATCTATAATTCAATCTGGTGCCCTCTTCTGGCACGTAGGCAGAACGCAGTATATAATAAATAAATCTTAAAAAATATATAAATAAAGATGTATTTCTTAAAAAAATGTCTCAGAGTTCTTCCTATTTGGATCTTTTTTCCTTCCTCCCTGGCCCAGCAGCTGATCTGTATTGGGCTGGTGATTATTCACTTATTCCCCCAAGGTCTGGGAAGACCTTGAAAGAGAAAATGGTCAGAGAATAATGGCATTTTTCAGCTTCATAAATAAACACAGTCAGTGTTATTCTTTGTAGTTTTTAAAATATTTAACAAAATGAAAGGGGGAACTGTAAAAATGCTTTCCTCTCCTGGCAGTTACAAGAATTGGAATTTTAGAATTGCCTTGCTGTTGAGTTAGTTTGAAAGAGCGTGAACATTTAATGATGATTGGCAGCAGAATCTCACTTCATTTAACTAAACTCTTGCACTGAACGTCATGAAATAGTAATATCAGTACATGACAGAAATAAAGTACGGTACTAAGAGAAGAGCAAACCGGGTTTGAATTACATATATGGAATGGTCACAGCTTCTTTAAAATATAGAGGGGGCCAGAAAGACGACTCAAGTTAAGAGCACTTGCTGCTTTTTCAGAGAGCCCGGTTCAATTCCCAGCACTCTAGTGTAGGTTCACAAACATTTGTAACTCCAGGTCCAGGTCTAGTGACCTGGCCTCCTCTAGCACCAGTCAGCACCAGACATATTTGCAGGCGAAACACCCAAACATACAAAGTAAAAACTAAAACGTGTACATAGGGGAAAACTTAGAAATGCATAAGGGGTGGATAAAGAGTAATGCTTGGCATAGTGGTGCACACTTTTAATCCCAGCACCTGGAAGAGCTCTGGGAGCTCTTGAGAAATCTCTGTGAGTTGGAGGCTAGTCTGATGTACATAGTGAGTTCTAGGACAGCCAGGGATATGTAGAGAAACCCTGTCTCAAATAACAACAAAATGAAGCAAGTAGTTATTTTTTTGGGCCAGGCATGGTATCCCATGCCTTTAATTCTAGAACTCTTGGGAGGCAGAGGCAGGCAGATCTCTGTGTGTTCAAGGTCAGCCGGGTCTACAGAGCAAGTTCCAGGTTTGTTCCATAAAAAGAACTTAATTAAAAAAAAAAAATCTTTACGGGAAGATCCTTGGTGATTTTTCTTTATACAGTTAATAATTTCTAGCTTTACTTTTCCTTTTAATTAATTTTAATTTGTTTTTGTTTTTGTTTTTCCTTCTTTTTTGACTTTTTCAAGACAGGGTTTCTCTGTGGCTTTGGAGGCTGTCCTGGAACTAGCTCTTTTAGAACAGGCTGGTCTCAAACTCACAGAGATCCACCTGCCTCTGCTTCCCGAGTGCTAGGACTAAAGGCGTGTGCCACCACTGCCCTGCCTATTTTTCCTTTTGAGATAGGGTCTTACAATGCTCCTGGCTGACCTTGAACTCAGATCTGCCTGCCTTTGTGCCTGGCCTCTTCTGCTTTATTTTTATTTTTTCAGTAATCACAAATAACAGATTCATAAAAAATATATCCATCAGAAACAGCTGTGGAAGAGAAGCATCTTTGGAGTCCTTCCAAGTCTGCTAATTGACTTTCGAGGAGAGCCTGGGGCTCCGACTGTTGCTGGTTGCTGGAGCCCAAATGTCATCTCTTCAACTTTGTTGCCATCACCTCCCCTCCTTCTGATCACCTTCCCTTTGCTCATTTTATCATTTCCTTTTAATGTCAGGTGGATGACTGGATCAAGAGACAAGACAAGATTAAGAGAGAAACAATTTGATTTATTAGGAAGAACTGTAAGGCCAAAGAACAAGGGATTGGAACTCTGTCTTTATCTGTATTTATTCAATAATCATGGGTTGAGAACTGTGCCATTGCTGACTAGTAATGGTTAAAAACAGACAAAATTACTGCCTTTATGGAAGTTGTATTTTGGAGTAGGAAAACAGTATAACTTAAGAGGTCCTGGAAAGATACCTGGATCAAAATATCTGCCTGGCCACCAGCATCAGGTAAGATGATGCCATTTAGAACTTGGCCTTTTGAGTGAATAACCCTCTTTAACAATGCAAGTACCCATGGAAAGAATAATGTTCCTTTTAGGTCATATGCACCTGCTGTATTGTTTCTCAAGAGCTCCAAGGGAGCCATGTAGGAACAAACATTTAAGTGACAAGATGCCCTGTCGGTATTAATGATCCAGGAAGAGTGGACTTGAGTGGGTTCCAGAGCTGGCTGAGGAGGCTCCTGCAGAAAGACAAGGCTTGTGAAAGGCACTGCCAGTGCAGTAAGATCCGTAAGACCTACCCCATCTGAAAAGTATTAGTTTGTCTTGGTGGAAGATGGAAATCTTTAGCTCTCTCCTTCTGAAGGTCAATTGTTTGAAGAGATGATGCTATAATCTGGGCATTCCTGAGGGACGTGTCTGTGGCCTTCTCAATTGTTTCTACAGTGGTCATCTCACTTAGGACATGTACAAGAAATGAGTAAGCGTCAGTAGAAGCCCACTGGAGGATACATACAGACCTTAACTAATATAGTATACAACCTCTTGTTCACATTAAAAGAATATATTATAAACTGAGACAAGATCTCACTTTGCAGGCCTTGCTTGCCTGGAACTTGCTATGTGTGCCAGAGTGCCTTGAACTCACAGAGACCCACCTGCTTCAGCCCCCAAATGCTGGGGGTAAAGGCATATGCCACCATCCCTAGCTAAGATTATTTTTTTACTTATGTGTATTTTGTGTGAATTCAGCATGTGTATGGGTGCCCTCTGGGGCCAGAAGAGGACTGTGGGTCCCTTGGATGGTTGTGAGCCACCTGCTATGAGTGCTGGGAATCAAACCCGGGGCCTTTGGAAAAACAGCAAACACTCCTAACCACTGGGCCATATCTCCAACCCCCACCCAATCCCTCCACCTCCCACACACTGTCCTTTCAAACAGCCATTTAACTGTCAGAGCCCTCTAGGTCCCTTAAGTGACTAAGGCTTTGCTGACTTTCCTGCATGCATCTCCTTTTCAGTTACACCTCCATCCTGGCTTTCTGAAACTTGCAAAGGAATTCTTGCTTGGAAAGAAGGGGTGATTGTAACAATCCAGGCAATCTTCAGGGATGTAGTCAAGTACCCATAACAGCACCTGGGTTCTGCAGTATGTGCAGTATGAGCCAGTATGTGTGCGTGTTTGCATGTCTGTCTATGTCAGGCTTCATAGTTTCTTGCTTAAGCCAATGCTTTCCCTGTCTGTGTGGACAGCTCTCTCTGGACCCTTGGCCTCTCTGCTATTAAACCTGCAATCTACATAGACTCCAGTCCAAACCCAGCAAGGACTCACAGCTGTTAGCTCAGATTAGTCTTCTTGGCAATCTTGGCCCAATCAATAGCCCTGCTTCTATTTCCTGTATTAGTTTTTGGCTTAGCTTCTAAATGTAAGGATGTGGGAGGGTTATGAATCTGATCTATTTTACCATGAAAAAGTTCTGGAATCATTTGTTTTATGTGAGCACAATTTCAGTCAGTATCATTTCTAATTACCTCTGACCACTGTTCAAGCTCTTTATGTAGACTGCCTCCCTCAGTGGACCTACTTTCACCCTTTCTTTTTTTTGGTTTTTCGAGACACTGTTTCTCTGAATTGTTTTGGAGCCTATCCTGGCACTCATTCTGGAGACCAGGCTGGCCTTGAAATCATAGAGATCTGCTTACCTCTGTCTCCCAAGTGCTGGCATTAAAGTTGTGTGCCACCAACGACCTGCACTTTAGAAAGACTCCCAGAGGCGCAGGCCCCCAGGATCTCAGCCCAGGACCTCCACCATCCCAATCACCATGTGGAGTCGAAAACTTGATGCAAACAGCATGAGGCTTTATTGAAGTTGTTTAACGAGCTAACCCCATGCTGGCTAAGGCCTTTCACCCATCCACCACAGCGGATAGCTAGGAAAGACAGCCAGAAGCCAGTGCATAGAGATCTTATAGGGCAGCGTAAGGGGAGTGTCTAGGGGTATGCACAAGCTCAGGATTGGTGTGCCCCAGGCTTGCCCTGTGTTGATTGGTCAACTGGTTGTTATGTCCTATAGGCCGTCCCAGGGCAATTGCTATGCTCTGCGAATCATTGTTGTGCACTTGTCTGTAAAGCACCCTAGGGCTGTAAAGCATAGCACCAACAGCTAATTTCTGATTGGTTCCTTGCCACGAGGCAGGCACCTAACCTCTAGTGACCAAGGCAAGGTTAGACAAGCTCGTGCTAGGCTGTTATAGCTGCTGAAATGGGGAGCTGGTCCCTTCATTTTCACCTTTGTTTTTTGTTTGGTTTGGTTTGGTTTTTTGAGACAGGGTTTCTCTGTGTAGCTTTGGAACCTATCCCTGTGCACTTTCACCTTTGTTGTTGATCTGTTTGTTTTGTTTCGAGACAGGGCCTCACGCTGCATCTGTAGGCCTTAAGCTTGTGTCAGTCAATCCTCAGGCTTCAGGTTCCTAAATGTTGGCATTATAAGTATGAGACACTATGCCTGGCATCTTTTACATGTTTGTTTTCTGGGAGCTGAGGGTCAAACACAGGGCCTCACATATACCAGGCAAGTGCTATACTACTGAGCTGTATCCACAGACCTTATCTGTTTTCAGGTGAAACAAAACAGTTGGGTGTGGTGGCACACATACCTTTAACCCCAGCACTCAGGAGCCAGAGGCAAGCAGATCTCTGTGAGTTCGAGGTCAGCCTGGTCTACAGATCGAGTTCCAGAACAGCCAGAACTACAGTGAAACCCTGTCTTGGAAAAAAAATAATAAACAAGCAGCTGGGCGTTGGTGGCGCATGCCTTTAATCCCAGTTCTCGGGAGGCAGAGGCAGGTGGGTCTATGTGAGTTCGAGGCCAGCCTGGTCTCCAGAGCGAGTGCCAGGATAGGCTCCAAAACTACACAGAGAAACCCTGTCTCAAAAAACCAAAATAAATAAATAAACAAACAAACAAAAAGAAAGAACATACTTGAACTTTATGAAAATGATTCCTGTAGTTTATTCCTGTATGGACCTGAGCATGCCTAATCTCATATGATCTAGAAAGCTGAGAAGGCCTTGGCTTAGATAGTACTTGTATGGCAAACTATCCCAATGGAGGGAAATAAGCTGGGCCATAGTAGTAAATCATTTTTTTTCCCAGATGCACGGTCCCCCTCTCTTGTCATTTGTCTCACCAGTGACTGCTCTTCCCTGGTGTTGGCCTCTGGGAGGCATTGCTTCCCCTGTAAATGTGAACCAGCAGTGCTTCTCATTAACAGCAGTGCTGGGTTCTGGCTGCTAGACTTCTACCATGGCAACTGTGAATGATCTCATCGTGGATTAACTGATTTATAAGAAAGGTTCATTTACCTTTCTGTGTGGTTCACTCTGGACCTTCTTGTGTTGGCTGTTATTGGACTCTGTGTGGACTGGGCCTTTTATTCTGAGCATGAAGAATCATTTGCCAGCCCTGCTGCTAGGGGCTGGAGTAAGATAAAAACATGGTGAACCTTTCTCAACCCAGTCCAGAGAGGAGATGGAGAAGGATAGTGATCTATTTGCTTTTCTCTTGTTGTGGTAAGCACCGTGACCAAAGGCTGATCATTGAGGGAACCTGGAAGCAGGAACTGAAGTACAAACCATGGGGTGCCCTGCTCTACTTACTGGTCCTAACCCCTGGCCTGCTCAGCTCCTGCCTTTCTTATACAGGCCATACCCACCTGCCCAGGGATGGTATTGTCTCTGGTGGGCTGAGCCCTTCTACATCCATTAGCAATTAAGCAAATGCCCCAAGGACATGCTCACAGGCCAAGCTGATGGAGGTAACAAAGGCCTGAGCTTGCTGCATATACATTTGAATTTACTATGAAGTAAATTTGTATTTTACAAATACACTAGCTGGAAAGCAGCCAGGAGTCATAGTAAAATCCAATTAGCTAATTCACTAAATTAGGATGTTTACATTTTTATTTTCAAGATTAGCATTTTGGCCAGCCTGTTCTCCAGAGCGAGTGCCAGGACAGGCTCCAAAGCTACACTGAGAAACCCTGTCTCGAAAAACAAAAAACAAAAAAACAAACAAACTAACAAAAGATTAGCATTTCATAGAGGATTGTGGACCTTCTTTTACTCAACTTGCTTGTGCTCTGAATAAATTCTGTAAAGTGTTAAAAATATTTTTAGTTTCATATCTGTTTGACAGGGTTGAGGCCTAATCAGCATTTTAAGAAATGATGCCTTGCCCAGCCTTGAAGCAGTGTGAGGAGCTTGGTCCTGCCTCAGCTTAGTATGCCATGCTTTGTTAAAGTCTATGGGAGGCCTGCCCCTTTCTGAGTGGAGGAGTGGATGGCGGGAGGGGAAGGAAGGGAAGAGAGGAGGGTGGGGAAACTGTGGCTGGTATGTAAAATAAATGAAAAAAAAATGTTCAAAGTTTTAGTTCATTAAACCTTAGGTTTAGCCAGGCGGTGGTGGCGCATGCCTTTAATCCCAGCGCTTGGGAGGCAGAGGCAGGTGGATCTCTGTGAGTTCGAGACCAGCCTGGTCTACAAGAGCTAGTTCCAGGACACCCTCCAAAGCCACAGGGAAACGCTGTCTCGGAAAAAAACAAACAAACAAAAAAAAAAAAAACACCTTAGGTTTATAGTGAGACTATTTGAATGATTTTTCACTCATCGGTTTCCTAACTGCTTTCTTTTGCTCACACTTAAAAAAGTGTTTGTGTGTCAAGGTGTCAAGGTGTTGTTTCTTCTGGGCACCAGAGTCTTGTGTCTTTATGTCTTTTGTTACATTTTTCTCCCACTAAACAGTTACACTTAGTTAATTATTTGTTTTTATGTGTATGAGTGTTTTGCCTGTATGTATGTCTGTGCACCATGTTTGTGCTTGCTACCCCCAGAGGCCAAAAGAGGCCAATGGATCCCCTGAAACTGGAGCTACACATGGTTTTGGTTACCATAAAGGTGCTGGGAATCAAACCCTGGCTCTTTGCAAGAACAGTCATCTTTCCTCCTCCTAGTTTTTGAAACTGAGTCTCTCACTAAATCAAAAGCTCATAGATTCAGCTAGACTCGCTGGCTGACATATGCTACCCCAAAGCTGGGGTTGCTAGAGCAGGCTGCCACAGTGAGATTTTCCCATGGGTTCTGAAGATCTGAACCCAGGTCTTCACACTTGTCTACCAGAAGCTGTACCTACTCTGGGGAGATGAAGTGGCTCCCCCAGTCCAGTCTTTGTTTTCCTCTAGCTATTGAGGTCTTTCACGCCCCTCTGGCATGTGTATTGGTCCCTGCCACTCTTGTTTGCTCTTTGTGACCTAATGTGGACTTTTAGTGAACACATCTTTGATGTGTTCTAGACCCTGAACATTGCTTCTAATACCACCCTCAAAAAAACAAACAAAAAAACAAAACCAAAAACCACCCTCATAACCACCCCACAGAGAGCCACTATTACCTCATCATTTGGCAGCAAGTGGCAGAATTTAGGGGTTCAAACCCAGTTCAGCGTGAACCCACAACAGTATATAAGAACAGTATATAAGAATCATGTCCCAATGTCCAAGTGCATTAGAATAGCTCAAGTCCAACTGTAAGTAAGATCTTGGAGTTGACCAAGACTTACCTGTGAGGTTTTTTAAAATTTTATTTTCAGGGGGAAGAGGAGGGACGTGTGAATACAGGTGACCACAGAAGCTGGAGGTACCAGATCTCCCTGGAGATGAAGTGACAGACATTTGGGAACCATTTTCAGGTCCTCTGCAAGAGCAATACTTAGTGTGTGTTCCTAACTGCCTAGCCATTTCTCCAGCCCCTCACATGGAGATTTTTAAAAATATATATATATTCATGTGACCAGGCATGGTGTTCCATACCTTTAATCCCAGCACTCTTGGGAGGCAGAGTCAGGCAGATCTCTGAGTTTGAGGCCAGCCTGTTCTACATAGTGAGTTCAAGGACAGCCAGGAAAACATAGAAAGACTTAAAAAAAAAAAAAAAGGTATTAGCCAGGCAGTGGTGGCTCAAACATTTAATCCCAGCACAAGGGAGGCAGAGGCAGGCAGATTGTGA